AAGAGATTTCATATGTAAATGAGGGAACTCCCGAGCTCAGCTGAGAAAAGCAAGTATATATTCCAACACTACTAGATGATGCTGTTGTGAAGGTCCAACGAGTCGTGTCTGTCGGCGGCAGTGAAAGCAGCGTGGATGGCGATGAAGCACGTCGGTGGGAAGCTCATCATTTGCGCCAGTAAGGGGAGGATTTTCGAGCCAGAGATGGTATTTAAATGGTAGGCTCGATAGCATCGGTTGGTCCGAACGCGTTGAAGTCGACGAAGGAAAATCTGAGGTTGCTCAACACTGACCGGGAGATTGAGATGCTTAAGCCTACAATGGAAGGGTACGTGAGGTTCTGTTGGAGGTTTGTTATAGCGGGAAGCGCTAGGTTCAAAGAGTTGGCTGCTGATCTCACCCGGGTTCAAATCACGGCAGAGATGTTTTTAACTACCAATATGTACATGGTAATGCAATGATATTGTAAGGCTTCTTTTGTTAACCTGTTGGTCAGGACATCGCCTCGATATCACCCCTGGCGCGTTACACTGGAGGCGACATCAGATACTATCCTGGCTTCCGAGCTGACATCCACGGTTGGTGAACGCTCTTCGTGTCAAAGGGCGACTCTCTTTGGATTAGGGGAGAAGCTGCGAGAGGAGCTGCAACACGTGTGCACGAGAGACATGGGCTGGGAGGCGGTCATGCGTGTGCGTGTTAGCAAAGGATGGAAAGTCACTAACTTTTATGGTCACATGTTCGTCAGGTAGGTCAGCTACTAGGATGCCAAGCCTATATGCAGGTCTCTTATCTTAGGACTCGCGATCTGCTCGTTGTCCCTAACTGTCACGAAGACCAGACTTTTTCTATTACGCTGGAGCCAGATGCCGATGTAAAATGTTCAGCGTTGGGCTGGAAGAGTATGTTCACATTCGTGTAGGGCAACTCGGGAGGGGGCGGTGGCGGCCCAGTAGATCCTTTCGTATGCGTACAGTGTGCGCTGCTATTCACTACCTCCAATGGCGAACGAAGGATACGAGTGCACACGGTGCAGTTGCCTACTACGGGCAATATAGATGAGGTAGGGAGACGTTCCAGCTGACCCGCGATAGTCTGGTGGGCTCAGGTTCTTGATACGACCGATCCGGAAGCTGCCACGGGTTTGATGGCTTCCTTGGCCTGTGATAAGGCGATGGAGGCCAACAGCAAGCTGTCTGACGCTAGGAATCTGGTGAGGGTTTAAGAGGTGTCGGATTCTGGTGTAAGTCGCCTGTTATCGATGTAGATACAGAATACTATAGGCCAGATAGTCACGTCCACGCAGTCTCACATTGAAGCTGTGCGGCCGTTGCCACTACATGTGAGGAGATCATACTCGATGTCTCAGGATTCACATGCTCGGCTCGTAGGTTCTGGGCCTCTTGAAATCGCCGATGTTCAGGGCGACTAGTGATGTACCGTCGGACCAGAGGGTCTACTATTGGACGAGGTATGTGGTGAGGAGTTGGTGTTGTTTGGGTACTCATGTCTGGTAGGCATGAGTCGATCTCGCTCCCTCTGCAAGCCGCGCTCTTTTATCCGAGGATGTTCGCAGTTCACCAGCTGTCGGGCGATGAAGGTAATTTTATTGCCTCCTGTATACTGGGAATGGAGACCACATCGTTGACAGGCACAGTCGATCCGAACACCGAGAGAGTAGTTTTGCCGCACTGCATCGCCCTGAGTGCCGAGAACATGACTGGGGTAGGATGAGCTTCTGATAGGGAATGGTGTTGACCGTGTTGTGGTATGCAGGACGGAATTTACCTTCAAGAAGATGGGGAGTCTATATTGATGTGGATCGGCAAGGCTGTGTCGCCGCAGCTTCTACATTCTCTCTTTAACATACCATCTCTGGACCAACTCGCGCTTGAAATGGGGGTAATGTGGTCTTTCACTGCGAGTAATTAGAGTGTACCGAAAAGGAAGTCATTTCTCTCTCATCTTGTGAATGGGCATGCTGAGGGCGGACCATTGTTAGTGGTTAGCAACCACTGCTTGCGGGCCGACCGGAAATTGCTCACTGTGTTTTATTTCAGGAGAACTGCCTTGTCCGAGATTCACCCGATGACACATGTAGGTTCAGTCCTGAACTGTAAATCGAACTCGGTGTTGCACTATCGATGCTCGATGGCTTGCCGATTTCTCTTGCAATCCGGCTGTTCCACTGTATGCTTTTTTCCTCAGGTCAGCGAGTGACGTCTATTATCGATCAGCTGAGGCTGGATAGAGCCCCTCCGATGATGCAGCTCATCCTGGTACCTCAGGGCAGCCAATATGAGGTCCGATTCTTCTCTAATCTCATCGAGGATAAGACCATCGGTGAGTGACTGTTGGTTCGCTTGCGTCTGATGATCTCATTTTCATCTATCATTATCCTTGGAGTTGCCTCAGGTATGCAGATGAGCTATCAGGAGTTCCTTCATCGCATCGGTGGGAGCAATCAACCAAGAGGTAAGGGCCTGGCGGTCGGGGATTCGTATAAATTTCAGCTCATGTTCTTATTCTGAATCATTGACAGGTGGTTGAATTTGCAGTAGAACTCACGGTGTTACTCATAATCTCATCCTTGATGACATGTTTCCCACAG